CGTGCGTCCAGGGAGCTGGGGGCTGAGAGCAGCAGCAGCGAGTCGGCTGCTTCCCCGAGTCCCTTGCAGGCTTCCAGATGGGGGGGTCTCCCGGGCACCTGCCTACTTGACTTTCCACGTTGCCTTTGCTATGGACTTGCACGTCCCCTGAGTTTGTTTCTCACCTTCTTTTATCAGAAGAAAACCAGCCCCCCGCTATGGACAGGGAGTGTGCGCAGCTCCTGCCTCCTGTGTGTGCAGTTCTAGGAGACTCAAGGCAACTTGTTGCCGATGACACTTTTCTAGAGAAATTTCTGGACTGGTTTAAGACTCTAACTGAAACAGGTAATTTGGACTCTCTGGATTTGGCTTATCCCTCTTGCCAAGGTAATCAGGGATGGGTTAAGATGGGGTTCCCAAACTTTTTGACATGCGACCAGTAAATCCATTCACGAGCTTTTGGAGGAACGGTTCATTTGCATATTCATTAAGAAAATGATGAATGTGCAAATAAGTTGTTTCTGGTCCTCCCAAAACCCCCCCCGGTGCCAGCTTTAGCAAAGCTTTTGATACAGTCACCCAAAATATTCTTGCCAGCAAGTTAAGAAAATATGGATTGGATAAATGGACTGTAAGATGGATAGAAGATGGCTAGTCCAGGGTTTCCCAAACTTTTTACTTTAGTTGGAACCCCCCCTTTTTTCAGTACTGTTTTTTACAGCTCAAAAATATAAACGCATATAAACAAATGAAAACTGTTTCACCTGGCTGCATCCTCTGTCCAGGCCAGGGCTTGGGCGACCTGGCACCACATGGGCTCTCTGGGAGGCAGGGGCAGATTGGGGGTTGGATATCTGCCTAGGCGGGAGGGTACAAGGAGGGGACTTAGGTAGGAGTTGGACCTCCCTGGTCTGGCATCCTCTGGACCTGATTGGTCCCAGATGAGGGATTTTTTTGGATCAGGGGAGGTTATTTCAGGCCTCATGGTTCTTGTTTTCCCCCTCCCCCTCAGGCCCACTAGGCTTCTTTGCACCTCCCCTGCAACCCAACTGAGCTGCCTACCCCTGCTGGTTCCCTGCACCTCCCCCAAAACCATCCTCCACAATCCAAGGAAGTGCAGCACCGTTTCCCTGCAGCCCCTCACAGCCCAGCTGAGCTGCTGCCCTTCTGTTCCCTAGGCCTCCCCCCCCATCCACTTCAGCCCAGTTGAGCCCAGCACTGGTTCCCTGCATACCTCCCCCACAGCACAGCTGAGCCCTGTTTCCCTGCATCTCCCCCCAAGCCCGGCAGAACTGCTGAGCCCAGCTCTGATTTCCTGCCTTTCCCTCCTTCCCCTTGAGTGTAGCCCTGGGTTCCCGGCACCTCCTGCAACCAAACTGAGCTCCACACCACCTGCTCCCCTGCAGCCCAGCCCCACACCTCCCCACTCTCGCAGCCCAGCCCAGCACCCCGCATGGCTTCACTCTTGCAGCCCAGCTGAGTTCTGTTTCCCTGCACCTCCGTACAGACATGCTGAGCCCAGTGTTGATTCCTTCCCCCTCCCTCCTTCCTTCCCCTTTAGTCCAGCACTGGGTTCCCTGCATCTCCCTCCTCCTGCAGCCCAGGTGAACCCAGCACCCCGCACCTCCCCGCCTCCAGCCTAGCCTGGCGCCCCCTTAGCATGGCACCTGGGGGCTACTGCTCCCTCCCCTTGCTACGCCTCTGTTGGGAGCCTGGAACATCCGGCTGCATCCTCAGCCCAACCTGGCCCAGGGCTTGGGGGACCCGGCGCCACACGGGCACTCCGGGAGCCTGGAACACCCCAGCAGCCGTGCTGAGGCCCGGTATTTTTTTCCCACGGCCCAGTACCGGGCCGCGGCCCATAGTTTGGGAAACGCTGTGTTAAGGGATAATTGATGTTGTACATAACCACTTGGATATACCATTATTCGTCAAATAAAATTATAGTTTGCATGAAAGTGATAGAAGATTAGGTTTGTTACAATTTTTTTACGGCTACACGATTACAAAAAAAAAAAATCTATTGGTTACACATTTACTAAAATACTCCCCATGGGTGAGGTAGACAGCCAGTGTGCTCCTGGTCCCACTCCAGGGAATCCCCTGCTATCCTGTGCTACTACCTCTATATTAAAAAAGGCTCCCCACACAGACAAGCTCATGCCTGCTGCCCTATAACCTGCTGACCCTGGGCTTCATAGCTTTGAAATTCACTAAAGCCCCTGCTGGGGACTCTTGTGCATTTCAAAGCAGGCACCTGCATGCAGCCAGGAGTCAGCAGAACTTCCTGTTGGCCCTGGGCTGTATGCGGAGTTCTGCATTTCTCCTTTGAAATGTACACATTTCAAAGGAGGAATGCAGAAGTGCCTATCGACTAGTTGATGGAAATTCCATCGACTATTCAATTAACCACATTTTAACATCCTGGTTGTGTCTACATTAGCATCCCTTTTCCAGAAAAAGGTGCCAATGAGACACTTCGGAATTGCAAATGCTGCGGGGGATTTAAATATCCCCCGTGGCATTTGCATGAACATGGCTGCCGCTTTTTTCCGGCTCGGGGCTTTACCAGAGAAAAGCGCCAGTCTAGACGGGATCTTTCAGAAAATAAAGCCTTTTCTGGAAGATCCCTTATTCCTGATTTTAAGAGGAATAAGGGATCTTCCGGAAAAGGCTTTATTTTCCGAAAGATCCCGTCTAGACTGGCGCTTTTGTCCGGCAAAGCCCCGAGCCGGAAAAAAGCGGCAGCCATGTTCATGCAAATGCCGCGGGGGATAATTAAATCCCTGCGGAATTTGCAATTCCGACTGGTCTCATTAGCATCCCTTTTCCGGAAAAGGGTGCCAATGTATACACAGCCCCTTAGTTTAAAGCCCCTCGAGCACTGGCTCTTGCCTGCCCATCCCCGCTACCTTTGAGGGAGGCAGCAAGGGAGGCAGGTGGCTCGGCAAATTCAGCATGCGCAGACAACCAGCTTAGAAGCTAATTTCCTGCAAGTATCAGTTCCCTCTTCCCCAACACCGTCCCAATATGCTGCCTCTGAGAGAGAGGCAGCAGTGTGGGAGGACGGGGCAGGCAGCTCCGCAGGAGCTGATATGTGGGTGGGAGCCAGCTTGAAAGCTGGCTTCCTGAATGTATCAGCTCCCACCTGCCCCCCTCACCCTCCACGCTGCTACCTCTCTCTCAGAGGCAGTCGTATGTGTGAGAGGGTGCAGGCGCTCAGGAGAAACCATCATGTGGGGGGAGCTAGCTTTTAAGTTGGCTCCCCAGAGGCACTGGCTCCTGCCTCCCCCTCCCCTTGCTGATACAGAGGCAGCAAGGGACAAAGGTATGTGTAGTCATTTGCATTAACTGATAAGTCTAAGGTTATTGGTTAATTGTTTAAACAACTGTATGCTAACATCCCTATAGAAGATTCACTGTCTGGACACTTTCATACTGTAGCTATAACACAGAAAAGCTTCACAAGTGAAGGTTCATATCACTGCTTTTAAGTGGCTGAAATTTCTTAATCTAATAAAATATTACTTAAGGTTTATGAAAGGGCTGGAACTTTAAACCCGTCTGAATCCTTGTCCAACTGACAATTAAATGCATACACTTCACTTTGGTTGGCTTTTAGGCGAACCTCCTAGAATTGTAGTACAAAATAAAGAGATGTCTTAGAAGTGATAGTGATTTGTACCATTTTCTATGATGTTTCTTCCTCAGAATCTAGCTTGCACCTGTTACAGGAGAACCCATGCTTGACAGAACTCATTACTTGTGTGCTGAAACTGAAAGATCCAAGTTCTAGCACACTTTCCTTTATTCTGAGATTAACAGGGATATTCACAGCTTCTGAAAGCTGCTTCCAATATTTACAGGTAAGTTAAGACATTAGCAACTAATTGCAGAAGCACTTCTGCTGCTCAGCTTCTGTCGAATTCACCTGATTAAAATAGTTATGTAGGGTTATTTTCTAGTAAGAACATTCCAATCCTGAAGTAATTCAACCATTGATTCTGGTTGCTAGGTTCGCTCTGTTGCTTTGTTAGGGTAGAGATAAAGCAGTAAAAGCCTCTACTTGCTTATCCTTGCATGCAACAGGTTATGCATGCAGAACATAGATGATTTGTCTTAGACCCAAAACAGAATATAGAATGACACTTGTATGACTGTCTCTCACTTGTTTATCTCTTTTGAGATAATGTGACAATATGTTAACTGTTTTCCAAAAGTTGTGTGTTCATGCTCATATGCAGGTATTATTGGGTTTTAACTTTGCATTTCCTGAATTCTGATTTATATACCATCATTCAAAATTGAGTTAATTTACATGGCTTAGTGTTAGGTAGTACATTGCAAAGCAGAGTTCTATGTGACCTTTCAGCACAAAGTATTGTATTTCATGTCAGCTCACTATTTTGGACCTCAGGGTAATGGATAAAAATGAATTAATCACTCACTGAAAGTTGGCTGTTGCAGTCACTGATCATGATTTCTTGCAGGCAGTGTAGGTAAGAAGACAGCCCCAACCAGTAATATATTTATGGGATTCTCCAAACAAACTCATTTTCCAAGCCTGAGAAAAAATGAGCAAAAATGGCCGAGGAAAAATGAAAATTAGGAACTTTTTAAAATAAGAATTTTAAGATGATGAGAAAGCTATGATTCCTTATTCAAGAAAGAGGACAACTTTGGATAAAAGCCCATGCTGCTTCAATAGTGAAATAAAGGCAGCAATTAGAAATAAAAAGGGAATACATGAAAAAAAGGATAAATAATCAGTGTAAAATTACGATGCGTAGGAAATTGATAAGAGAAGCTAAAGACACCTGAGGACACTTCATGACTGCCAGAGCTAAGATTACTTGCATGCGGAGTCATAAAAGTATGGGCTGAGCAAATCTGTAACCTGCTGGTATTGACGCTAATAAATCTTGGAATAATGGGGAAATCTAAAAGATAGGATGAGTGCTACTGTTATCTTGATATCTTTTAAAAAGGCAATTAGGATGGCCTGGATAACAATACTAGGCTGATTTGAATTCCAGGCAAAATGGAAAGGCTAATAAAAGACAGGAATACAACTAATGCAAATCAACTTACTTTTATGTAGAAGCAGGGCTTGTTAAATTAACCTGATTTAATTCTTCTTCAATTAAAAATCTGGTTCATAAGGTATTCATTCAATTTTGAATGATGGTATATAATCATAAGTTAATTGTGTAGATGTAATATACTTAGACTTCAAGGCATTTGAGTTCTGCAACATGATGTATAGAAAATTAGCACTGTACCTTATAAAAAGAACACACTAAATGGATTTACTGACTGACAGATCTTAGAAGTAGTTTTAATGGAGCATTACTGCATCAGAGTCGGTACTAGATCTGATATTGTTTTTTTCAGTGATCTGAAAGTAATTATAACAAATTGCTGATCAAATTTAGTTGACATAGGTAGGTGTAGTGGTTAAAAACACTGTGGAGAGGGCAGTCATACAGAGTGATCTGGATCACATGGTAACCTGGCCCATTCAAACAAAATGGATTTTAATATAGTCAAATGCAAAGTTATACATTTGAGACATGAAGTGCAAGCTATTTCTACAGAATGGGACACTTGAAAAGCAGTGACTCTGAAAAGGATTTAGGGCTCAGAAAGGACAGGCAACTGAACATGAGTTCCTAGTGTGATGTAGGGATGTGAAGGACTAGTCACTCCCCCCCCCACCACACACACCTTGCTGACTTTATCAGAAAGAGGTAGCAAGGAGGGGGAAGAAGAGCGGGTATTTGAAAGCAGCAGCACCGTGTGGAAGCTCTATGCAATGCTGCTGCTTTGAAATGTTTCAAAGCTGCAACGCCACATGGAGTCTGGGTTCAGCGGGCGAGTCCCCAGCTGACCCCGGGCTCCATTCGACACTTTCGCCTTTGAAGTGTAGGCCCTAAGGCTGTTGCTACACTTCAAAGATGGAGGCACCTGTCAACTATTCGATTAGTGAATTACTTGCAATTTAATATGCCTAGTGTAGCAAAAGGACTAATGTGATCAGTGGTTGTACGAATAGGGAAGCAGGAACATGATTTTATCTCTCCCTATAGTCCTGATTAAGGATGTTAAATTGCAGCTCTCTGGCTAATTGAGTTGATACAATTTGTATTGACTACACAACTAGTCGATAGGACCACTCTGCAGAGCCCTAGTGGGAGTAGCTCCAGGAACTGGCTTGCGCTGGGACTGAGCAGTTTCGGCTTGTGCCAGCTCCAGGAGCTGCCCGTGTTGCAACTCTGCATGTTAAATGTAGTAAAAATTGCCAGGCTCTTACTACATTTAAAATGCAGAGGTGCAGCACCCCAGGCCAGCGCAAGCTGGGACTGTTCGGTCCCAGCTCGCACTGAGTCTGGCAGCCCCTGTTTGCAGTGGCCAGGGCTGGCTGCAGGCAGAAGCTGCTGCCAGAGCAGTCCCTGCACGTGGCTAGCCTGGGCCACCGTAAACAGGGGCTGCTTGGCAGCAGCAGCCCCTGTCTGTGGGGTGGCCCAGCTCCCCGCTGGGACCCCCACTGATAGGGGCTACTTTGCAGCAGCCTACCCTATTCCTCGCTACCACCACCCCTGGCTGCTTCTGCAACTACAGTGCTTCCTCCAGCACTGGCTCCTGTTTCCCTCCTTCCCTCCCCTTGCTGTCTCATGGGGGTGGGTGGGTGAAGCGAGTAGTCATTACTCCGGTCAACTACCCGATAAAGGTTATGCTTATCGAGTAGTCGATTGCTTGCTAACATCCCTAGTCCTGATGTGACTAATATTAAAATACTACATCTAATTCTGGTGTTCACAATTTTTAAAAAGTGGTTTAAAAATTAGAGGACATAGAAAGAACCACAAAAATGATTCAAAGGACAGGAGAAAATGCCTTGCAGTTAGAGCAAAATCTCTTTATTTTATCAAGAAGAGGACTGAGGTGTGACTTGATTACAGTATTTAAGTACTGTCATGAAATGAAAACACTGTGTATTTAAGAGGTCTTTAATCTAGCAGAGAAATGCATAACAAGAACCAGTGGCTGAAAACTGAAGCCAGACAGATTAGACACAAATTTAATAGCGTGATTAACTGCTCTAACAGACTACAAAGGAGGGGGGTAATGGATTCTCAGTCTCTTGATGTCTTTGGATGCCTTTCTGGAAGATATGCTTAGCCAGACATAAGTTATAGGGCTTAATACTAGGTGGAATTTAGAGATCAGGCTCCAGAAGACATCATGGAGGGAGAAAAATAAACCACCTAAAGCAGTGGTGCACAATAGTATCTCTCTTTCAATCTACCCTAAAAAAAACCATTTTTTGGACAGTGAGCTAATTTGTGAAAACTTTTTAGTATACATGCTTCAGACAAAGCAGCTAGTACATGCCAAACTGATCAGGAAATTTTAATATATTAAGCCAGACTTTTAAACCCATTAAACCATGGAAATTCTGACTTAATGCAGTCACCGCTATTTTGTTTCTGCCATATGCTGTACTTTGAATACTTGCATACAATCATAATTTATGTAATGCTTTTCATTTTTAAATGCTTTGCACTGACACACATTATAATAGCATCCTACAACAGTGGCTAGATATTAGTACCTTGCCAGAAAGAGCCTCTTGATTTAAATTACAATAATGGAACATAGTTCTTCCTGTGGTAAAGTAGGATAGGGACCTACCATTCTCAGTGTGCCTCCGATATGGAGGGAATTTTTTTTTAAATGTCCTTGTTTTGCATGGTGGTATCTGAATTAAAAAAAGAGGGCTATAGGGAAGAGAATACATAGCTAGGAAACAACCTTATGGGGCTGTCATAGCCGGAGAGCTTTTCCTAAAGCTCGAAAAATTTCATTCAAATGGTTAACATTTCTCTCACCTCTGGGTAAAGCATGTGACAAGTGTTTTCCCTGGATATGCATAACACCTTTTATTAAGTGTTTTAATTAGGTAGGGTAGCGATTATTAAATTGATTTATAAAACTTCACTTAGTAAGGAACAATGTATTTCAGACATACAGAATGGGAAGCGACTGTCTAGGAAGGAGTACGGCAGAAAGGGATGTAGGGGCCATAGTGGACCACAAGCTAAATATGAGTCAACAGTGTGACAATGTTGTAGAAAAAGCAAACACAATTCTGGGATGCATTAACAGGAGTGTTGTGAGCAAGACATGAAAAGTCATTCTTCTGCTCTACTCTGCATTGATTAGGCCTCAATTGGAGTATTGTGTCCAGTTCTGGGCACCACATTTCAAGAAATATGTGGAGAAATTGGAGAAGGTCCTGAGAAAAAGAACAAGAATGATTAAAGGTCTAGAAAACATGATCTATGAGGGAAGAATGAAACAATTGGGCGTGTTTAGACTGAGAAGTGGACATGATAGTGGTTTTCAGGTATCTAAAAGGGTGTCTTTGGGGGGTAGGGGGGGAATTGTTCTACTTGGCGTCTGATGATAGGACAAGAAGCAATGGGCTTAAACTGCAGCAAGGGAGGTTTAGGGTGGACATTAGGAAAAACTTCCTAACTGTTAGGGTGGTTAAACACTGGAATAAATTGCCTAGGGAAGTTGTAGAATCTCCATCACTGGAGATAGTCAAGACATCTGTCAGGGATGATTTAGACCGTGCTTGGTCCTGCCATGAGGGCAGGGGATTGGACTTGATCTCTCAAAGTCCCTTCCAGTTCTAGTGTTCTGTGATTCTATAACTAACCTATTAAGTCACCAAAACTCTGCTTGCTGCATAGTTTATTTGTGTTCTCTCCTCTTGACTCAGCAGAGGGAGCTGTTGAACAGTCTCTTTGGAGAGGAGGGGCCTCTCAGCAGTGCTCTGTGGGAAGAAGCATCTGTGCGAAGTGGCTGGGTCCAGGGTGTGCACAGCATGACACAGCACCAGAGCGCAATCCATTTTTTGTGCAACTGTGGTGAGCACGGTTTGTTTCTTGCCCATATTCTTTAACTTTTTACATTCTTCATGTGTTTTGGCTGTTCCAATCTGTCCCTTAAGTGTCAAGTGAGTAGACTAGGATTAGGGATGTTAAATTGCGGGTAACTGACTAATCAAATAGTTGATACATTTTGCATCGATTATTCGACTAGTCAATAGGGCATCTCCAGCTTTGAAGTGTAGAAACAGCCTGAGGGCTGTTGCTACACTTTAAAGGCGAAAGCGCCACATGGAGTCCGGGGTCAGCAGGGAGTCCCCGCTAACCCCGGGCTCCGTGCCATGCTGCTGCTTTGAAATGCAGCTGCAGGAGCCCAGCGTCAGGCTCCTCCCGGTGTTTCAAAGTGGCAGCGCCGTGTGGAGCCCCGGGTCTGGTCCCACACTCCACACGGTGTTGCTGCTTTGAAGTACTCCTCATCTCCCCCACCCCCCTTGCTGCCTCTTTCTGATAGAGACAGCAAAGGGGGCGGGGAGAGAGTGACTAGTCGACTAGTCCTTCACATCCCTAAATAGGATATTATGTTTAGACATTGATTTACTTTGAGAGAAGCAAAATGAGGAAACAATAATAGAAAGCTGTTGTAAAAGTTAATTGTATTGCTTTTTTTGTTGTTGTTGCACATACATATGTATTAAGGTTCATCAGTATAAAAAAAAAAAGCATGTATTTGAGGGAGAAGCAGTCACTTACCCAACAGGGCAAAGTAAAATTAATGCATTAGAAAGCCAGCAAAATTCTTATTTGAAGGCTATTAAAAGTAGTTTAGGACTATTGTACTTTAGGAAAATTAATCCAGGTCTCGTTCACATAAATTTTAATTGGGCTTGCAGATTTTACTCAGTGTAAGCAGTCCTATTTGTGTTTTTATATTCAAGTAGTCCACTAGCCATTAATTATTAAGCCTAGTATCTTAAGAGCTTTTACTAGACACTTAGGTCAATCTAAGAGGCTCTGTATATGTTAACTATCAATCTAACCTAAAACAATCAGCTTTCTTTAGCTGTGAGCTCCCACGCCATGAAGATGCTGTTCATTCTTTTCAAATCACAGTAACACTCTTAACATCAGTTTTGCCAGCACAGATAGTACTGTACACAACACTATATTGGTGGGAGAGCATAATCTGCCTATTGTAGCCCCTTTAATCTTAAATGTGGGAAACTAGAAATGTTGCATGGAATGCTGTCAGCCATTTTGCCATTTTTATTTGTCCTTCCCCCGTCCTACCTCTCAGCTTGAATGATGGATAGATTGACTTCTCAGTCTGATCATGTGAAGCATTTTACATTTTTTGTTTTCATTTTAACTTTACATTTTAATTTGTAAATTAAAGTACTCAGAAGTAGGGTGACACATGACTGAATTGCAATGAAGTTTCCAGAATACAATAAAACTCTTGTTTCTTTCAGTGTCATGGCTTTATTTTTTTCCTTTGACACAGGAGCCATAGATGTGATCTTCACTCTACAGGGAGACCCTAGCCTGTTTGTGGCTTCGGCTGCCAATCGGCTTTTAGTGCACATACTCACCTTTTCTCTACAGTCATTCCAGACTAAACCTGTAAATATAAAAGACTGTGATTGGCCAATATGTGCTCAAAAGCTTATACCACACCTTGAAGAGTCCCTTAAATCCAGCTCTGCCTCTCGTATCAAGCAATCTTTGAAGCTGCTAACCAGTGTATTTGGATGTTGTCATGATCTGTGGACTGAAGTACTTTGGTCACAGCTATCAGAACCAATTACATATCTCTTGGAGAAGGAGCCATTCAATGCAGGGAACTCACTGGTGGACCTTTTCCTTAGCATGGCAAGGTAAAGACCTCTTTGGAACTTGGGCTCATGCAACACTGTCTAAAATGTTACAAGAAATATGGTTGTCTTTCCCAGGGTATGTACACAACAGTATGCTAACACTTCTTTCTCTCAGGTCTCCAGTGTTTAGCTGCCCTGAATGTAGCCTGTGGAAATCAGCATCATATGCTTTGGAGCACTTAAACCCAGCTCAGGCTGGTTGTTTGTCAGTGGGAATACTGAAGCTTCAAGAATGGTATGAATTGTTGGTATCAAACTTTAAAAAGCTCTCTTACATTCTTGGAATATTATTCTGCAAATCTTCTAATAATTGGTTATGTCCCTTTCAAGTACTGTTCTGCATGAGGAGGGAAACTTTGTGTTACAACTCACTGCCAGTGTAAGGCTGGTACAGAAAAGTGTGTCCAGGTGCTGTAGATGCTGATGATTTGACAGTCCAGTTCAAAACAAGAGAAACAGAAGAAGTGCCCTGTACTCCCAAGTCCCACCTACAGTTAGCCAGCCTGTAGGGTAGGAATGGCAAACCTTGTTTTTGTTCTCTGGTGCCAAAGTTAATGTGAGAGTAGGCATTTTCTCTAGTGCAAGTCATACAGAATATTTCCCTCTTTCTTTCTCTTTTATATATGCTAGTAATAGAAATACAGGCACTGCTTGCTGGCAGAAATGACCATCATTGCTCTAGGGACTTTTACCTAAACCAGCAATGCGAGGAGCCATCATTTTAATTTATTGTAAGTAGTTGGGATGTTTGAGTATAAATGGCTATCCTATTAATTAATCAGAGGATGCTTATTGGTTAACAGTGTCATTTACACTCAATAAAACCTCCTCCCTGGGAGCAAGGTGGGCAAGGGCTACTGGCTTCCCTCCTGGGGACATGGCTTCATTGCTAGTTCCACTCCTGGGGAGGTGGCTTCACTGCTGCAGCAAAGCTTCCTCCCCAGGATCTGGTCAGGCAAGGGCTGGCAGCTCTGCTCCCAGGGAGGCTTCGCTGAAGGCTCTGCAGTATAAAGTTAAGGGAGGAGGTTTTGTTGAGTTAAGCTTTATACTGCAGAGTCCACAAAGGTTTTCAGCAGTTACACGGTTAACCTAAAACTATTGTTAACATCCCTAATAAACAGGAGAGAAGAGAATTACCGGATGCAAATGATCCAATGGTGCAAGTTAAGTAATGACTGCACTCTAATTATATGACACTGTTTTGATTGGAAGAAGGTCACCCAGGATTCCACACCTTTACAGTTCACTTCGCTTGGAAAACTTCACACCAAAACCAGTCCGCTCAACTGCTCTGGTTATTCAGTGATGTTGCTTGAAAGCCCCAAGTACCTTTCTTTCCTGGCTTAGCTTAGGAAGTTTGGGACTGAACATGACTCCTCGCCTAGCAATATGTTGCTCTCCCACCAGCCCCAGCCTGATTTTAAGGCCAAAAGAATCTTCTGTTGTGAATTATGAATTAACCAATCAGAATCTGTGGGCAAATATTTGGGGAGAATGAAGTGTTTGTTCACTGCTCCTTCTTCCTTTGAAGCCCACAGGCAGTAAAGACGCAAGCTCTGAGTGTTTTGCTTCAGCCAATGGATTGTGTTCTGAAAGCAGCCTCCCAGCCCTTGGAATATCCAGGTATAATAGGATAGACAATAGGAGGATAAGTAACCGATCTGCCCATAAAGGACAAGACTGTATCCTGAACAGAAGGAATGAGGGTGTGAGTTGTATCTTTGAATGTGGGGAAGTGAACAATTGAAAGAACAATTGTTGTGTAAGAGCAAGTGAGACTAAAGAAGCTGTGTTTGTGATATAGTTGCAAGAATGAACGGTGTCCTACTCGGGAGTGGGGTCTTATTTTCCAAAGAAGAATGGACACTATGTCCATTCTTTCCTTCACTTTGGTTGCCAGCAGTAATCACCATGCTTGCTCGATAGACTTCTACCTAAACCAGTGATGTGAGGAGCAGTTTGTTTAACTTATTGTAAATAGTAGGGATGTTTGACTGTAAGGGTGCATCTACACTGCACCATTACTTTGAGATAACCAGCATTATTTGAAATAATGTGAGCGTCTACACAGCCATTCCGGTATTTCAAAATAGCGGACAGCTTATTCTGAAAGTTGTAAACCTCATTCTATGAAGAATAATGCCTATTTCAAAATAAGGTGTGTAGATGCTCCGCTGCTGCTATTTTGAAATAGCCCTTCACCAGGGCCATTCTAAGTTCTTTCTCCCCAGTGCCTCTTGAGGCTCTAAATTGAGATAGCACATCTACATTAGGGAAGCCTGCCTCAGACTAATTTTGAGGCATCCCTGAAGTGTAGAGGTGCTATTTCAAAATAAACTATTTCGAATAACTATTTTGAAATAGCTTATTTCGAAATAAGTGTGCAGTGTAGACGTACCCCAAATGACTAATGATTTAATCGATAGGCAAATTCTTATCAGTTAACTGGGTCATTTATACTCAGTGAAGTCTTCTTCACCTATTGCCGACCTTGGCATTTGTTCTGCTCACCTCAGTTCTCTCCTTTTATCCTCCAGGTTTGCTGAATAACTCTCTGAGTGATTCTGCCACTATTGAAACACTGCTGTCCTGCAGGTCCTCTTGTGCTAGTCTCCTGTGTCAGACATTGGCTCATCTGGAGGAGCTGCTGTACTTGGTAGTAGCTGGGGGAGAGGGATAACTGGGGAAGAAATGGATTACTTGAAAGACTTCATTTAAGATAGGTCCTATTGCAAAAATCTGCAAACAGACATGGAAAAGGGTTGACAGTGGGGACTTCCCTTTGGCGACATAATTCAATAAAGAAGAAATCTAATATCCTCTTTTCCTATCTATCTTCTACCTCAATAGCGGAACAGGCATATTTATGCATTAAATAAGGCTGCGCTTGGCTAATGCATTGCAATCATAATAGTAGATTTGAGGCAGTCCACCACATGTCAGTGATGGCAGAGGGGAGATCATCTTTCCTCCTTCACCCACCCATACCAAGTTTATCATCTAGAACTGCAGAAGTTTCTATCAGGGCTGCCCAGAGGATTCAGGGGGCCTAGGGCAAAGCAATTTTGGGGACCCCTTCCTGGCACTCCCTGTCTCAGACTTCAGACATTCTCGTGGGGGCCCCTGTGGGGCCTGGGGCAAATTGACCCACTTGCCCCCCCTCCAGGCGGCCCTGGTTTCTATTGGTAAGTTTCCTGTCAGACTCTTCTGACTTCTCACCTATTGTCAATCCTGTTAAAAAGCTTTCACTAGTACTAACAGTAACTCTCCCTCTCCCTCTTTTATTCAATAGCTTTTTGGGGTGGGGAAGAAAACGTGTTCATAAGTATCAGACTTGTGATACTATAGGGATGATACCACATTAGAATGAAATAGGTTTCTACCCATCCCCTTGAATTTTTTTTGTAATATAAAAATACATACACTAGGTATATACATACATGCATGAGGCATTTGCTAGAAATGTATCTGCTTTCTTCCTCAGACCTACATGCCAGTGAATTTGCCCCATATACCTTTGCTGAAGTCTGTAGTGACAGTATTGCAATTCGGTACTGGCCTTGCAACTCCAGCATCCCCTCTAGGAAGTAAGATCAGTAGAATCTTGATTGGTTGCTTCAGAGTTCAGAGGTCAGCACTTGACATCCTGGGAGCGTTCTCTCATTGGGAAAGTGAGTGTTTTCCATTCTTTGTACTTTAGTATATTAACTTATTTCTGGTACTTGTAGCCATTCTGTATTTGCAGGAGTGCAAAGTGTCCTAATCCTATTTCCCCTCTCAGCCTCTGGGTCTGGGATTATGATTTTGTATAACAACAATCTAGTTCCCACGTTAGTTAAGTTCTGGGCTTCTCAGACCATTCTATACATCAGATTTACTAATGCCTCTTCATTAATGTTGATAAATGAGAAGACTTAGTGATGAAAGCAGTTTTGAGAGGTAGGCTATTTGTCTTCTCCCCTGCTTTCAGATGCAATGTATTTTGCTGCTTACTGGAATTACATTTGCTTTCCCTAATTGGGGAACACCCATAGTACACAGGAGGAAGCAGTTCCCAGCTGGGGGAATGGCAGCACACAAAGCTGCTTTCCCTAAGGCTTTTCTCTACTGCTCCCATAGTGGTGTGGGGATGGTACCTGAGAGTGGTGGGAAGTGCAGAGCCACATATGCACGCAGGAATGGGATGCCAGGTAAACACTCCACCCCCTCTCTGGCCTGGCAAAATCTTTAATCCAGCATGCCCTGTTTTCCTAGGGTTGCCGGATTAAAGAGGTTCTAGTGTAGTTTTATAAAATGTATTGTTATTTCAAGACTTTTTCCTGTTTCAGGCCACAGTGTTTTTATGGGAAGTGTGTCTGACATCCTCCTTGCATACCTGAAGAGTCCAGATACCAGCCCTACTGTAAGTTACAAATTTATTCAAACTCTAATTCTAGTCTCATTAGGATGTGATTCTGAGAAACTCTTTGAATCTATAGACAACGTGTTCTAGAATAGCTATGAGGCTTGTGTGTCAGCTCTGAGTGACAGAGGGAGGGGATCAAGAAGTGAGATTAAACCATTATGCAACTATGATTGATTTTGGTTTCCTTGAAAGGAAACAGGAGGCATTGTACCCAAAAGTAGTACTGTCACACTACTCTGGAAAATTAGCAGCAGGCATTAAGAATAGACCATTCAAGGAGTCTTCTAACAAGCAGGTACAATGGATTCTTGAGCTAGGCAACATTTATTAAAGGATGCTGGGTTGTCATCGCTAGTAGTTTGACTGTAATTGAAAAGACTAAGCAAATGTTATCCAGTGTAAGTGCCAAAAAGTCTCCTTGTGAAACACATTTTAGAAGGGCAGCCTCCCTCTGATTTCCCTAGCCCTGCTTTGTTGTGTTCTAGGTTCTGAAGAAGTCATTTCAAGCTACACTCAAATGGCTGGTGAGATTGTCAGAAGCACCTAGCTCTAGGGATCACTGGCTACAGACTGAGCAGTTTTTCCGAGGTAAGGAAACTGATGGGGTTAAGTGAAATTAATGGTGTAAAGTATTACTGCAGTAATTGGTAGTTCCAACAGGGAAGTAACTCATACAGAGCTGCTACACTCTATCTTTCACAGCCTCTGAATGCAAAGATGTTGCATATGATGATTTAAAGTTAAATAAAAAATTTGCTACTGCTGACTTGTACCTTTCCTGTTGATACAAACCTATTGCTTGTCACGTGCAGATCTGTTTCTGGTGCTGCAGAAACGTTTGTGCAGCCATTGTTGGGAAATACGGGACTCTGCCCTGGAATTTCTCACCCTCCTGGTTAAACATCTGAGAGGTAAGTGCAGAGAAAGTAACACTTTACATTTGAAGCATATCACAATAAAACATTTAATACAAAAAAGCTTGGCCTGCAAACTCCCCTATTTGCAAAAACGCCACCATACCCAACACTTTTGAGTAACCTAAACTGGGTGAATCCCTGACCAGTTTTCAACTCTGTTTCACATGCTGAGTTGTCTTGACATTCCAGTGGCAGAGAGACAATCCCACAGGTATGAACTGCTTCCCTACATATCTGTTTCAGGCAAATAATTTTGTGTCAGCCTCTCCCCCTCCCCCAGTGTCTTAAAACAGAATAGATAAGATTTCACTGAGCAGACAGGGGCAGGATTTGGGGAGCTTAAGCATGAGTGCACAGCCACACAATGGCATTGCAGGGGCTTTCTGCCCATTGCAGATTCACCATCCACTTCTGTATCTCCCACCCCACTCCCAACCCCTGCCATTTACACAGCAGAGGCCCAACTCTGAGACTGGAGTAGTTAGCCCCACAGTAGCTCAGCTCCTGTTTGATGGCAGTGAGGTGAGAAATTAATTTATTTTCCCTACTTCTCTCCCCAAACCAAAGTGGAACTCCTCAGTGCACAACCCAGCTGCTTGTCCTAGCGCACAGCCTCTGGCTTTGGGTTTTGAGCATCTCACACCTGTTTCATGGGACCTGCAGACCCCTCACCAGTGCTGTCAGTTAATCCATATTAATTGGGTAGATTATTTAAAACCATCAGGGTCAGATTTTGCTTTTTAAATGAAAGCCTAAATTCAGCAAGTTGAGAGTAAATACCCAATTTGCCAGGTGGAGAGGTTCATTTGCATGTATGCCAGCAGCAAGTAGATCTAACAATTGGAGAGGTTGGGGTATGACTAGAATTCACTAAATCTGTGGTGCTCCATGTGTATTCATATCAGCAGTTGTCTGGTCTCCATAACAGCTCAACTCATTCTACAGGCAGTAAATATCCTGTTAGGATGTGAGGGGCTATTTGCATTGGAAACAGTTTGATTGGATAGAGGAATAAAACCTCTTTCTTCAGACTGCTATATATTTACAGAGAAAGAGGAGTTCAGGCAAGTACTCGTCTCTTCAGAGGTGCCAAAATTCACAGAGGATCTTCTTGAAGACCCAGAGAGTTACGTGCGAGCTAGTGCTGTGTTGGCCATGGGACAGCTGTCCTTCCTCACTCATCTCAACTCAAAGATACCTAGCACAGAAAATGGAGATGGCAAAGAGGTAAAGAAGGTGAAAGAGAATTCTTGTTTAACCCACAGCAGACTCTAGAAGAACTTCTCATCACTAACTGTGTTGCCATATACGTTTGATCACTCTTTAGACATAATTTAAAAATGGTCACTGGCAGCATGAATAAATAATGGCTGCAAAATCTAACTAAGATGCTGAAGCTCTAGAGAGAAATTGGAGCATTTTGAACTCCTTAACCATTAATTTCCATTTCTTTAAACATGTTCCTGCCCTCTTTTCTCTTCTTAGAAAAGCATTGTAGCACAACTTCAAGAAATCTTAGTGACAGACTCAGAGGGCTTCCCTAGAAGAGCTGTGATCAGTGTCTTCATTGACTGGCTGAGAGACGGCCACACAGATGTACTGAAAGACACTGAGCAGTTTGTCTCCAGCGTGCTCCAAGTTGTGAACTGTGACTTAGACTGGGAAGTCAAAGCTGGTGGTTTGGAACTAGCTGAAGTTTTCTCTGCCAAGACACTTGGACGGGTTGGCCTTGCTGGATGCCCATATGTTTCTGTCGTCTCTGCTGCCACCCGCTCTACTCAGCTGAACGAATCACTGCAGATATTCTACCGAGTGAAACTGTTTGAGTTCCTGTTTGGTGCTTTGTGTGACTGTGACAGGCCAGTGGCTCAAAAAGCCTGCAATATCCTCATTGCCTTGAAAGCTGAGCTCTGTGATGAGAACAGCTTGAAGGAGGGACTGAGTGCAGAACACTCATTTCCAGAAGCACATGGGATTGCTTGGTTAGAAAAGACTCTGAGAAGATGGAGTTCCTGTGCTGAACCCTGCCCCATTGGTATTGCTAATGAGGCTGGCTCCCAAAACCCAAACGATATTCTGTTGGTTTTGAGAACAATAGACTTAGAAGGGCTGAATAAGTCTCTGAACAGAAGCAGTGACCACATTGAAAACAGTCCTCAGTCTCTCTTGCAGGACATCCTGGCCACTGTGGGGACTTTGGAGGAGAATGAAGCTGACTGCTATTAAAGTCAGTGGCAGGTTTTTACTTGGAGAGGAAGCCATTCCAAACAGTTATCTGGCTGCAGGAGATGTTGTTTGATACTCAAGAATAGAAACAAAGCCAGTAGTCCCTTCCAAAAGAAGAAACTGTTACAGAAAGGCCGAGGAGTAGGACTCTGTCTTGGACTGAACAGTGGGGATGAAAATGGGTTTGTCAAATGGGTTAGAAAGTCTAGCGGTGTGTTGTCCTTGCTAACTGTGACCCAGAATGCAAGGAATTTAAATGAGAGAATATTTAGAAGGTGTCAGGGAACTAGAATACAACGTATTTAACAAGTGATTGTTAAATACATAGTTCCCATGACTTCAGGCTGTACGCTGTAGTCACTGCCCAAAGCTTAATTAAAAGTCCAGAAAAAGCATCTGTTTAATTTTAATATACCCTCATATAAAGCCATAGAAAAAATTACAAAAACCACAATCGCTTTTAACAACTGATTTTTTTAAATGCTAGTGTAAGCAAGTCAAATAAATTAATAAACTCTTTTTTTATAGCCAAGTTGGTTAAACTTGCTGAAAGCTGGTTCAAAACAAACTGATTTCAAAAGTGATCTATCCATTTTTGCTTTGTCTAGGCTACCGCTCTAAAATCAGAGTCCCTGCTGTAGTGAAGGGCCTAGAGGCAGAGAAGGACAGTTCCATATCTATGGCAAGTGATCAGTTAAAAATTGGCAAGTTGTTTTCTGACTACTACTTTCCCAGGTTCCTATGGAGATGAGATCCTGGACACCGCATACTTGCATTGTAGTTACTAAGCCTTCACAGTGTGCTAGAGCCCATTTCAAAGAAGCTGGAATGATGCCTAGTGGGAGAAGGAGGCTTTGGCAGCTGGGGTTTGTACATAAAATATCAGCGTCAGACTTTGGTTTGTCACATCAGTCAACAAACCTCCTTAATTAGAAAACTAGCAGCCGTACCCAAAGTGGCAGAGCTGCTTTCTGAGGACAATTCGACAGCTTTTAGAAACCCGCTTGGGGGAAACTCATAGTTTACAACTTAAAGCAGCCCACGAATGACACTACATTAAAACCTTTCCTATATAGTGAAACAGCACAGACATGGCAACGGTCAAAATGTACCTAAGCTCGTTGAGCCCTGCTGTCATACCTTACCAGCCAAGCATAGCATAGTAAGAACACAGAATTCATTTAAGGCAAAGGGAGAATACTGAAGTTATCCAACTATGTCTCTAGAGAGAAGAGTCTCAGTTCAAATACCATCTCATTCATTCCCTTCTGTGAGTAGCTGAATCCCAAAGTCTGCTCAATGGCAGCAATGCAGGTTTGAATACTTAACTGCTGAGATTGGGACATTTACATTATATATCCTTATCTCCCATACTGCACACAGCTTTCTACATAAGAACCCTAGCTTTCTTATGGCAGCTGGAAGGAGTAGCTTTTGATGATTACATACAAGCCTGCCTAGCCTTGGGCTATATCTGACCCAAGAATGAAAGTATAAAAATAAGACCAAGGTGAAGAGGAGTCAGGCTAATTGAAGGAAGCAAACAATGTTTTACTCAACCACTGTAGCTGTATCTGCTAGCTTTGGGATAACAATCCATCTAGCACAGAGATGGGCAATAATTTTTGCAGGGGGACCACTTCATCATTTTAGGTAGTGGTTGTGCGCTGGGTCTGCCCCCAGAAAAGGTGTGGCCTTGGGTGGAAGGGACAGTTCCCTTCAGGTGCTGCATCCCCTACGTGAGGAGAGAAGACTTCTTGCCCTTCAGGCCTCATTGGCCTGGGGGCAGGGATGTGCACAAAGTCCCTTGCGCCCTCCCCCCCCACACACACACCCTGCTATGGGCACGTGGTACCTAGAGGGAGCCACTATCCGCTTTGACCAGCTGGTTGTCCCCTCTGGTGCTGCATGCCCCTAGCAAGGGGAAGAAACTTTGCACTCTGCCCCACTCCCAGGCCATTTGAGATCTTGTGGCAGGGCAGTGTGGGAAGTCATTTGGTATTCAAAAATGGCTGGTAGCTCCCTTTAGGCTCCACATGCCCCTGGCAGAGTTGGGAATGGAGGTGGGCACCAGCCACTTGGACCAGTTAAATACTTCATGCACTACCCTACTCAGAGTGACCATGGTAGGGTTGCCTGGATCAAACGGTGTGGTGGGCTGGATCTTGCCCATCCCTGATCTAGCACTATACACCTTCAACAGGTTAGATAATGCCCTGCTAAGAGAACAGAATTATTAGATCATAATCAGTGATGTTTTTTAGGTAATTCTTTTCATTAAAGGAGTCCAAACAACAAAGACATCACCTTTTATAAATGGTGAAGGCTAAGAACTAGAACTCGGTTCTCCTGCCTGCCAGGCCACTAGATCCCAGATTTGTTTCCTCACTGTATCACATTTCACTAAAAGTGATAGTTATGCTAAGTTCAGGACCCTGACTGCTTAGAGTCTGAAGCCACCTTACTCAATGCATGATATGTATGCTGCCAGAGGAAGACACAGAAGGCTTCTTCCTACCTCCAATAGCAAGTAGCATCTCATTCATCTTTCTCCCTGAAAAGTGGCAGGAGGATTAATTTAGGTATGTTCTAACCATTTAGAATGCTAGAGTTCTTTAATTCTAAATTAGAATATATATTGTACTGAAAAGCTCTCAAACATAAACAATTAGACTAAAAATAATGCTAACTTTTGCACATTTTCCATTTCCTCTGATCTATTTTGCCCAAGGGTATGTCTACACTTGCACCCTCTTTTGATAAGAGGGATGCAAATGAAGACATTCGAAATTGCAAATGAAGCTGTGATTTACATATCCCATTCTTCATTTGCATAATCGCTTTATGGCGCTATTTCGAAATAGAAAATGCGGTGTAGATGCGGTTATTTCAGGAGAACACCATTCTTCCAAAATAAGAACATAAGAATGGCCGTACTGGGTCAGACCAAAGGTCCATCTAGCCCAGTATCCTGTCTGCAGACAGTGGCCAGCACCAGGTGCCCCAGAGAGGGTGGACCAAAGACAATGATCAAGCGATTTGTCTCCTGCCATCCTTCTCCAGCCTCGGACAAACAGAGGCCAGGGACACAAATTTTATCCCCTGGCTAATAGCCTTTTATGGACCTAACCTCCATGAAATTATCTAGCTTCTCTTTAAACTCTGTTATAGGCCTAGCCTTCACAGCCTCCTCTGGCAAGGAGTTCCAAAGGCTGACTACACGCTGTGTGGAGAAGAACTTTCTTTTATTAATTCTAAACCTGCTACCCATTAATTTCATTTGGTGTCCTCTAATTCTTCTATTATGGGAACTAATAAATAACCTTTCTTTATCCGCCCTCTCCATACCACTCATGATTTTATATACTTCTATCATATTCCCCCTCAGACTCCTCCTTTTCTAAACTGAAAAGTCACAGTCACTTTAACCTCTCCTCATATGAGACCCGTTACAAACCCCTAATCATTTTAGTTGCCCTTTTCTGAACCCTTTTCAAGGACAAAATATCTTTTTTGAGGTGAGGAGACCACATCTGTACACAGTATTCAAGATGTGGACGTACCATAGTTTTATACAGGGGCAGTAAGATATTCTGTGTCTTATTCTCTATCCCTTTCTTAATAATTCCTAGCATCCTATTTGTCTTTTTGACCGCCGCTGCACACTGTGTGGAAGTTTTCAGAGAACTGTCCACGATAACTCCAAGATCTCTTTCCTGATTTGTCATAGCCAAATTAGCCCCCATCATACTGTACCTATAGTTGGGGTTATTTTTCCCTATGTGCATTACTTTACACTTATCCACATTAAATTTCATTTGCCATTTTGTTGCCCAATCACTCAGTTTGGTGAGATCTTCTTGGAGTCCCTCACAGTCTGCTTCTGTCTTGACTATCCTAAACAGTTTGGTATCATCTGCAAACTTTACCACCTCACTGCTTACCCCTTTCTCCAGATCATTTATGAATAAGTTGAAAAGGATTGGTCCCAGGACTGACCCTTGAGGTACACCACTA